TATATATATATATATATATACATATATATATATATATATATATTTTGTTTTTTTATTTTAAAATTCTGAAAATCAAATCATGACCAGGAATCGTGTATATTTTGATGGGATTTTGTTGAATGCTATCTTTTTAAGTTCCATAATGTGAGATACTATCTGTTATTTGCGTGCATGGTATTTGGAGACTATAATGAAGCCTGCACGAACACATAAAAAGCCACATTACACAATGGCGCCTATGTGAACAAATAACAGACAGTCAAGACCTTTTCCCTTGGAACAAGCTGTGCAGGATTTGTAGGATTTTCCACACACAGTGTAGCTAATCAGTGGAAATATCAGGCAAGATTGTGCAAAAACAAGACCATCATGATAAACATGACCAGATTTCTACATAGCGTGAATACAGGAAACACACTCTTTATTTTCTATAACTCATACTAAGATATTAAATAGTTCATAATTTTACCTATGTCAGCCATGCATACATGACTGGTACCTTGGGTAGTCACAATAGGTGGCAAAAAAAATGATGTGACATGCAGACATTTAGGATGCCCAAACTACACACATCACAGGCAACATTCCCAATGTATCTTTGTTTCAAATGTCTCTAGCAATTGCAGGAAAGTAGGGATGATTTCTGGTTTGGTAGAAACTCATTTGAGAACTGCTCTTATGTCCTGTTGCAAGGTGGGGCTTACTACATGGAAGTAACCATCACACCACATAATGTTACTAGAAGCCAATTTTACAACAGCACCACTATTATAAGCAGCTCAAATGTAGTACCATGAAATGGTCACTAACTTAAGACTTCATTCCACCCATAGGTTTCTATATTAAGAGGTGTTTACACCAATGGAAGAGCTGTATCTCCAGCTTTTAAGAAACTGTGGTTAAAGGGCAATAAAACAAAGACTAACTTGTAGAAAATAGTGACTGCATTCAAGTAACACGTTTCCATCAATTTCATACTGCATCAGCTGTAAAGGCTAGTGATACCAGTGGATTACAACAGGTAGTCTGGGCAGTAGCTTTATACACAGCTCTAAGGGGGCAAATATGTTATGCTCATAAGCAGTTGAACTGTGACCTTCACAAAATGTATTGTTTGGTTGGAGTATTTTTTATTGAACTTGGGGAGGTGTTCTTATAGCATTGCCATATAGTTAGAACATATTTAAGGATTAGGATTGTATCAAAGGATTATAAAGCATAAAAAATGTGTGTAGGAGCCCATTGCCCAAATACTGCCCAGCGAAACATTGCAATTAATCCCAGAATGTACGTCAAGCGTAATAAATCATTGACTATATTTCACTTGGTGAAATATTAAACCTATTTTTTTATTTTTGTTTTGGGTAGCATAAAGTGTGATTTAGTCCCTTTTTGTGACCATGGTATGGAGACTGCCCTCACCCCCGAAATTACCGTGAATGCCAGGGTACTGTTGCAGGATGAACTAGAATGCAAAGTCAATATAATCCTAAATAAAAATGATTACGACAGGGGTAGGCAGCCTTGACACTCCATCATGCCTCTTCCTCTGGGAGTCATGCCTGTGGCTGTCAGAGCCTTTCAATGCCTCATGGGACTTGTAGTTCCACAACAGCCGGAATGCTGAGGTTGACTACCCCTTTATTAGGAGGTCAACAGCATCATAATGCTGATCTGTGGCCCATAGTGGATTATTTAGTAGAGAATGTAATCTGGAAAGGGGAACCACAGCATTGCCAAAGGCAGAGTCAACTCTCCCTGCCTGCATCGCAGACTGCAGTAAAGATCAGATTTGCAGGGTTATTCACAAAAGGGTGAAGGCAGGAGGAGTGAATAATCTAGGACAACATAGCTGAACTGGAAAGTGAGCTGAAATGGAGAATTTATCCATATTAGCTTTGTTGACCTAGATTGTTCACTTGTTCTGCCTTCTCCAAACTCTTCACTCTTTTGTGAATAACCCTGCCTGTCTCACTCCATCCACAACTGGATAAATGTTTGGTCTGAAGACACAGCTTATTAAAAAATAAGTTAATATATATAATTATCTGTGCTACTGATATCACTTAGGTTAGGGCCAATGTGTAAAGGTGCCCATACACCTTACAATTATCTGCAGGTTTTCTGTGGTCAGATGGAAAAAGTGCAACAGATTGGCCCAGGTGGAGATTCCTCCATCCACACAGTTAAGTGTAGATGGAGGAATCTGTTCCTTTTCCATCTGACCACAGAAAATCTGCAGATAATTGTAAGGTGTATGGCCAGCTTTAGTGATGGTTATGTGTGCTTAATTAATGAATGGTCGACATCCTTAGGAATCTTTCTTAGTTTGTTTCCACTATGCATAAAGAATAGCTCTGTGGCAAACAGTCAAACAGTAAGTCAATTTTTGCACATAGAAAATTAGCTTTGCACAATATGGCCTCTTAATGAGAAATGAGATGCTTAGAACCTAGGAATGCTTAGGATACAAAGGGTAGCACAAGTCAAGCCATACAAAGCATGCAGAGAAGAGAAAAAAGCAATACACACCTAGCAGAATATTGGGATCTTTTAGAGATGCTCAGACATCACCCACTAGGAATAGTAAGGTCTACAGAAAGAACAGCAGCAGCCTGAAGCAGAATCAGCTACAACAGAGAAAGGAAGGACAAGAAAGGTTAGTCAGAAAAATTACAGCCTGAGTTTCTGATGTCTTAATAATCACTGCTAACCCTGATTTGCCAGCAGGGATTAGGGGAAAAAAACTTTGTATTTAAAGAATATATACGTGTCATAAGCAGGGAGGGAACAGTTTAACTGTCACTGCTCTAAACAGGCTTACTTTAGAATTTTAGAATACACAAAGAATATATAGATATATATATATAGATATATATATCTATATACATATAGATATATATATCTATATATTCTTTTATAGACAAAACACAGTTAAACACATTAGATCACTTGTTTATTAATACAAAGCTCTGCTATAAGACCTGGTGCACTGCATGCACAAAATGCACTGTAACCCATAGCAGCCAAGCTGGTGCTCTATCTGTTTATCTAATGCTGTTACAGCTAAGCATACAAAATTGGCATCAACATTCCGTATATGATCACCATACAACAGTTTGAAGAAAAACTTGCTCGCAAAACGCACACAAGAATTTCAGGAATGCTAAATCTAAAGTTGAGATTGTAGGGTCAGATTGTGACGTGTATGGTGACCCTAAGGGTCTATTTATAAACAATAAAGAAGGACCCTACCAATATCTGTGAACGTTCATTTTGGTCCAATGATGCCAAATACGATTGTTCACAATTTATTTTTCCCCTTTTGAATGTAGTACTAATACCTTATGGCCACTAGATGGAGTTTTCCAGTTCGAATGGAAGTTGCTGTTGTAATTATACATTATTGCCATTAGATGGAGCTCAGCTCAGCTCTGTCTAGTGGCCATAATTTATTATGACAGCAATAAATTACATTCAACCTGGGAAACTCCATCTAGAGGTCATAATGTAGTAATACATTAGAACTGGAAAACAATTTTTCCCAGTTCTAATGACATTTTGTAATACTACATTATGGCCACTAGATGGAGTTTTCCAGTTTGAATGTAAGTTGCTGTTGTAATAATACATTATGGCTACTAGATGGAGCTCAGCTTAGCATTTTCCATATATTTGCATATATATAGATCTATATCTATATAGATATAGATCTATATAGATATAGATCTATATAGATCTATATCTATATAGATCTATATAGCTATAGATCATTATATATTTGCAAGGTGAAGGGCCCTGCAGTGTTTATAAATAGACCCATAAGAGGAGTAATTTCAGTGGTAGTCTTTCAGTGTGGGATAATGCACTTTTTTTGCTCTGACAAATGCTGCATTCAGGAAGCTAATTAAACTTTAAATTGGCCCTTAATGAGCCTCAACACAAAAAAATGGACCTGCATTAATTCTGAGTTACACAGCACACCACAGCCAATTCCTGTCTGGGCAATGTACAGTGCTAAAGGCAAGCAGTTGGTTTACCTTTCATATGTGCATTTAAGGTGCCATTCACATGAATGTCAATGCACTACAACACATATATACATTGGGTAGTAGTGCGTTACGGTTACATATGTGTATGTATGCAAGTTAAAAGTTATGTGTTTATTTACTGAAAATACATTGAGGGGAATGTATCAAAACGGGAGCAGACAAAATCTGGAGCAGCTGTGCATGACAATCATTCAGCTTCTCTCTTTCATTTTTTAATCTTAACTGAAAAAATGGAAGAGAGAAGCTGATTGGTTGTCCTGGGCAACTGCTCCAGATTTTGTCTGCTCCAGTTTTGATAAATTCCCCCCAATATATATCGACTGATAAATGCTTCTTGTTTAGTGTGAGAAAAACTTTGAAAATGTGTAAATATAATGAGAATATGAATCCTGTGCCTAGAATTGTGTAAGATGAAGAGTGTGCAAGTGTATAATAAATGACTGGGAAGGGTGGTCATGGTTTCTCATCAGTTGGATAGAAGTACACGGTGCTTAAAGCGCAAGTAAAGTAAAAAAAGAAAAGTCTCTTCTGCCAAAAAACTTCTTCTGCTGTCCCCCAGCAATTGTTTTATCTTTTATGTACACTGTATGGCACATCTGCCATGTAATGTACACCCTCAACTTATTCACAGTATCTATAAGATGCCATGAATGGCCAGCTAGTGAGGAGGATGTAATGCTTGTGCACATGCACAGGAGTTACAACATTAGTGGCCACCCAGTAGCCCAAAAGAATGTTGTGGAACCTTGAACCAGCGATGGCGAGATGGCAACAGCAGGGGACCGAAGATGCATTGCACAACACTGGAGAAGGGCACACTTGCAAGGTAAGTCAGCCATAATGTTCAAGTATGCTGGGCATGCATGCATACTATGGCAAAAAAAACCACCCAGAATGCAGTCTTTTACGACTGAGAGGGGTTTCAAGGAATGAGCAGGTTACAGGTACTCCCGAGATGGGGAGGTGTCATGGGGTAGGTAATCATCACTTATAAGTGCTCAATAATCAGAGTTGGGTTTCAAGGGTTGTGCAGTTAAAAGTTAAAAATACTAATTAATAGTTGAGGAAATATCAATGGGTACTTATTGGCAAGGGAGAGACTGCAGATAGTCATCAGTCTGGGATGGTGATGCATATGCTCATCCTCAGGAGCAGAGCCACGGGTGTTGGATATGTTACATCACATTTCAGGCCACATTACAAAGCTTAGGACATAATAGATGTATCATAAAATTCTAATCCATCGCATACATACAGTAAAGGAGTGACAGAGTACAAATGCCACTCCTGTGTGCATGATGTGCCTCAGTGGATGGAAATAGAACTGCTCTGCGTGATCATATATATAAAGACTGAAATAAGTCAGCTGTTGAAATCCAGGGAAGCAGTAGTAAAAATGTTGATATTGCTCATATCTAATGACATAATAATCACAATGTAAACTTTACAGAAGTTGAAAGATATCCAGATTTTCAACTTAATTCAGCTTTCAATAATGTTTGTTACAAAATAATATTTCATTGTGTTAACAATCCATGAGAATCTCTGATGTGTGCTCCAAACAAGGACTTATCCTATTTACATATTTGTCCTATCTGTGAACAAAGATCATGATTGTCAGAAGTATGCCATTAATAGAGAGCCAAAGCCATGGGCAAAATAAATCAGAAACAACGTGTTGGCATAAGAAAGATGGCACAAACAGAAGGAAGCACAGCTGGCATCCAGCGCCAGGAAAAGAGAGCACTGCACACAGTGTTCTGTGATTAATGTCTTCCCCTACAGATGGAATGCAACACTGAGCCTCTTGTGATGCTTCAAATGGTTATTTCGTAACATGAAACAATTTTTATAGACAGATGTAAAGGCTAAATACTATTTCATGAACCCATTTCAAAGGTTCTGCTTAGCAAATCCCTTCTCTGTCCTCCCGTTTCTTCAAAGATGCTGCGCTGCCTATATAAACTGCATAGACATTGTACGCTGGCATGTCAATTAGAGGGCTGTGGATATGGGTGAATGTCTTGGCAGCTAGATCTTAACACCTGTAACACCCATTTTTATTAGACTTTTAGGTTTAGTGTGCGTGATAGCAAACAGCATGCATTTACTGCAGGCAACAGTGGGTATTATTGTAGATCTAGCATCATATTTATGGAATGTTTTCATGTTAACCTCTGTATGAAAAAAGGTCAAACAAATCTTTACGCCCGAACCCAGTCTTTCAACTTTGGCATGTGTTAGTAAAACTGTCCATATCTTTGTAACTACTTAGGGGCTGATGTATAAAGGCTATACATTGGGTGGATGCCATTCACATTGCATTACAGCTGTTAGATGACACCAAGGAGCATGGGAAATTTCTATTCTCCTCTAGCCCAATCTAGCAGCTGTAATGCCATGCAAGTGGCATTCGCCCAGTGCACAGCCTTAATTTATACAACAGCCCCTAAGTGTATCAAGGTGAATTATACCTTAAAGTGACATTAAACCCTCAGATTTTTTAACATAAAACAATACTGTAATGTGTGCCTTACTGTAATCCATGGTTGTTTCCCTTCTCTTTGCTGCTCTTCCTTTTAAATCTGTATCTCTTCTCATGCTGGGTAGAACTTCTGTTTTGCAGCAGACTGCCTTGTCTCTGAAAGGGTTACATCGTGTCTGTGTGTAGGTTTGCCACCTGAGCCAGCACTACAGGAAGAGGCACTCAGCTGCAAAGGGAAGTTCTCCCCAGGCATGAGAAGACATGAGGATTTAAAAGGAAGAGCAGCAAAGAGAAGGGAAACTACCATGGATTACAGTAAGGCACACATTACAGTATTGGTTTATGTTAAAAAATCAGAGGGTTTAATGTCACTTTAATTGTTTAGTACAAATTGGACCTTCTTTTGTTAAATGGTAATGGATAAATTAGAGAAATATTGTCCCAAAATAGTTTAAAAAATACATTTTAGCTGTATATATCTTGTTTTTACTATGACCCATATTGGGGCTTTGGGGCAATCCGCAAATTTTTCTCACAACATTGGTCTGCACAGTGCTGTCCTCTAGTGTGACAGAGGAATTATTTCAGTTTCTTAGCTGCTATTCACATATGCCATTTCCATTTTTACAAGGGAATTATAACTACAGAAATCTTCCAGCACACTAGAAATTTCTATAAGCAATTCTCTAAATTGTCACCATCATATTAGGCAATAAGGATTGCCAGTGCCTACTCCAGGCACACCTACAGATGATACATTGTATGCTTTCCATTAAGGCAGATGTTTGAAATCAATGTGCAATTGAATCCTTTTCCCCAACAGCAAATCACACTTATCTAAGTGTCATATTTTTTTCTATTTTCACTGGCATTACAAGAATGAAGCAGTGTTCTGTGAGGAAATGTTGAGGACACAGTCAAGAAAGTTAAAACTGTGTCAAAAATCTGATTGTTAATGTGTTGTGTAGCAGGGGGCTGTTATATGCAAGACAACTATTTCTTTTTCTAGACTCCATAGCTAGTCATATAAAGTAGCTGGATGCTACTCATTACTGACAGTAGGCTCCTCTTCAACAATCACAAAGAATGGACA